TACATGTTTATGAATATTGATTATGGAACTAATGGCTAACATTTCTCTTGATTGTGTTCTTAGTAGCGTATTTATATATATATAATCAATTGGCTAAATGATTTCAAAACCTTGTTTAAAAAAACTTTACGAGTCTTTTTGATTAACAAAAAGGGGGAGAAATATTAAAAAACGTTTTTGAAGAGGAGTAGTGTTAAAGTAAGAGGGAGTAGTATTTTTCAAAATCAAAATTCATTTTGAAATTAGAAAATCTTAAAATGTTTTGTTATATTTAAAAGGGGGAGATTGTTAAAAACATTTTGTTGTTTCGATATAACAATTAAATTAAAAGAATTTTAATTTTGAAAATGATTTTCTAAGCATATTCGATATATTAAATCGAATATCAAAATATTACTCAAGTATTTCAAAGTTCATTTTTAAATCCTTACTAAAGTGTAAAATTAAGTTTTAATCTTAAAATAATTTCAAAACAATTTTACAAAATATTTCGAACCATTACAAAGCCAAAAATTCCAGATTGCTCAGAGGGAACCGATTCCCCCCAAGGGGATATCGATTCCCCCTGAATGGTTTGGCTCCGAGAATTCCAGTATGCTCGGAGGGAACCGATTCCCCCCCAGGGGTATCGATTCCCCCCACTGTTCAACGGTCGAATATTTGAATTTTACACTTAGGGAACCGATTCCCCATGAGGGGGTACCGATTCCCCCCACGCTCCAAGCTGTTGTATTAATGGTTTTCACACTTAAACGGCTCCATTGACTCCACTAATCATCCCCAACGTTCAGAATCAATTGAGGGAGTATTTAAACAAGTTCTGAAGCCTTTGATCAACAAGAAATTATAGAGAGACAAGAGAGAAAGCATCAAACACCAAGTTTGTACAAATCAAGCCAATTTTCCTTTCAATATTCATTTTGCTTTCAAGAACACCATTGTGCTCATTTATAATTATTTTTAGTGTTCTTTTCTTGTTCTAGAATTGTGCAAACATCTTACCTTGTGAGGTTTTCCTTGTAAGTTTACAAATTTGTGTATTTCTCTTTGAAAAAGAGTGTGCTCAAGAATTTGGGTTATAATTCTTGAGGGAGTTGTAAGGTTACTCTTTGTCCTCAAAGAAAGAACAAATTAGAATTTGTTGGAAATCCTTAGTGTGGATAGCTAAGGTAATGGACGTAGACTTTGGTTGAGAAAGTCGAACCACTCTAAATCGTTGTGCAAATATTTTCAATTTTCTACAAAAGCTTCCACCAAAATTTTAATTGCCAATTCACCTCCCTCTTGGCCATTTTCATCAATCGATTAACTCAACAATGTGGAAGTAAACTTCACCCAAACTTGATCATAGAAAAAAGTAAGAACCGTCAATTTCTATTAGATACAAAATAATTTTTTTTATTAATTAATTTTTTATATTATTATATTTAAGTTTTTAAATATTTTATATTTTGAATTTAAATATTTTATTTAAAAAAATCAAATAAGCCCTTAAACTTTTAAAAGAATTGATTTGGCCCTCGAACTTGAAAAAAAACAATTTAGCCCATCTACCACGTCATCAGACACTTCACCAGTCATTGTGGATTGTCACATCAGTGCCGTGGATCGTCACATTAAGACCATGAAGTGCCACATCAACATCATAATGGTCAACGACGAAAACTGTTGGTCAAAAGGCCACATTAAGTTCTTTTTATAAGTTCAATGGCCACATTGAGTACAAAAAAATATCGAGAACCACATTAATTTTTTTTAGATAAGTACAAGGACCTCAAGTACTCTTTTACAAAATATTTATCCGGAAGATATCATCTTTTCTTTTACCAAGGTCTAGGTGAATGATTATTCTAATATTCTCCAAGGATCGAACCTATTCATTTGGTGAAGTTAAGTCTAATATACTTCAAGGAACCTCTTGGCAACTTTGTGTGCATGAGTTATTCGAGTCAACTTGAATTATTGATTCGATTTTTTAGTTCGAGTCAAGTTAAAATTTGAAAATTTTAAGTTGCTCGAAAAATTATAAATCTGACTAAATATTTGTCAGTTTTACAATTTAGTCTATGATTTTATTATTCTTTTAATTTCTCTTTCATTTTAAATCCAATTTTACCAAATTTGAACCACATGCTTCTAAACCTTCGTAGAATACATATTTAATGTCAATTGCACTTGTAACACCCTATACCAGTACGACAAACAGTCGCCCGATCCGGATGCCACACGGAACCACCAGAGTGGCTGACCAACATTTTCTCTTCTACTTCTTTGACTTTAAGGCAACCATTTTAATAAAACCAACCATAAAATATATAATAAAAACTTGTTACATCGGAGAGCTCTCAAAATAAATAAATACTTTTAAAAATATAAACATTACAACTAGGTTTATGAATATACATACACTTTAAGAAATTGGATGACATACTCTCCTCTGTACTAGATCTGGACCTCAATCACTCTAAATATTCTCGAACTGGCTGATCTACTAACCTACCAATGGAAACATATAAAGGCTGAGCTAACTAGCTCAGTGCCACACTAACAGCTAAATCATACTAATTGTACATCACTGAAAGGCTCAAGCTATCAAGTCTATTGCTTTACTATCTAGTATATTGATCTGTTATGCTCTGCTTTAGTGAGTATACTCGTATACTCACTATCTACTATATAGACATCATGGTGCGGCTGAAGGGCTGCATCTCAGAGCTCACACACCTCTCTAGTCTACCGAGAATGTGGCCTCCGAAATCTCCGCATCGGACACCACACTCTCGACTAGCCCACTCCTTGAGTGTCAGACATTGCGCCCAAACTAGTCAGCTTAAAATGCCTTGCATACTCCCTAAGGATATATCCAGATATAAACTATACTTTCAACTCTGCTAGCTTTTCTAAAGGAACTCGGGTCTCCGAATCATTTCTCGAGAATCAAACAAGGTTAATCTTATTTGATCCTACTTTATTCTTGTTTCTACGTTTGAAATTAACTTTATTATTGTTTTCACTTGTAGTCTTATTTGGAGAGTAATTATTAGCTTTTGGGAAAACCTCACATATCTCTAAACATCTCTTCTTTACTGCTCAACACAAAGCCTTGGTATTGATACTGACCTTACAATATTGATACTACCTCTATAATTCTCCTTGCTTTTAAACTCAAACAATACCCTTGGTATTGATACTGGCCTTATAGTATTGACACCCTCTCTGCAGTATTGGTACCTCTACAGCTATTTCATTCATTTCAACCCAACTTTAAACACCTTCTTTAGCACTTATTCTAGTGTTTTACACCTATTCGATCCTAGTTATGGTCATACTATGGGTCTAGGGCCTCCCGGACAATGTTTTTTTTGGCTAATTTTGACATTTTGGGCAGAGGTTTCGAAACCAACCCAAGGGTTTCGAAACCTATACTGCAAAATTCACTTTTTAACCCAAGAAAACTCTCCAAATCACTCTAAAAACCTTTCCAAAGTCCCCAAACTCCTACCTTGAGGTTTCCCATTTATTATTAAGTCTTATGTGAAATTAAGGGGCATAAATAAGACTCTTGAACATGCTATAACACCATTACAAAGAATCTACCATTAAACTATACTCAACAAGCTTCAACATAATTCTCAAGCTAAAATCTTAACTTTCTAGCTAAAACTTAATTCTAATGATCGACAACTACAACTGATATTAAGGGTCACTTCTCGCCACTGTTACTTCATGTCTTCCATTTTCCTTCCTCCAAAACCATCATTAAATTCCTGTATAGAAATACAATATTATCGCATAAACTACCAAATATGAACAAACATACACAATCCGTTTCGATACTAAAGAGTTCGTACATAATACACATATTGAGATTTGAATTCGTATATGCTTAATGTCACATTATTTCATGAATCACCAACCTTTTGAACAGATACAAGAGATTCTTCACTGGCAATATGCCTTTCTTCAATTGTTTCCATGGCTGCAAAGACAATTGAAACAACTCATACTACTCTAATCCATTTGTTTCAGTAATTAGTGGGAAAAAAGGTTTCTAAATACCTCGATGAGCATGCACTGAGCAATTCTTGAGGGCATACAAACAAAGAGAAGCCCAAGTACCAGTCTGTGAACCTTACATGCAGCATCTTTGTCGTTCTTCCTTGGGCTGAGAATGCTTTTTCGCTTCAGCAACTGATAAAAGAGAGGAAATCTGGAAAAACAAAGGAAGGATTGGTTTCTATAGAGAGTTACAAAGTCCAAACCCGAGTCAAAGCTAGAGTTTGGACAGTTTCTTGATTAAAAAAATCTTGCTTCTGTGATAAATAACGAGCTTAGGAAAGCTCACCAATAAAAAATATAACTACATCAGCTAAATTTTTATTTATTTTTTTGAAAAATGGGTTTTGTATAATTAAGATAGTCAAATTCATACAAAATAGAGTATCCATAAGACCTCATTAAAAAACATTCCTAATCCTAAGTAACTAATCAATACCACAAGATTTGGGTCTGTTACACCACACCAAAGCATATAACCACTCAACCCGTGCACTAACACAACAAACTAAAAAGTACTCCATGAGATTATTGCAGATGCTAAACTTCTCCAACTCACGCAAGGAAATAGGGAGACCATGAACCAATCCGACACTCGGCACCAGCGTTTACAATCCTTATTGCAAGCAAAAAAAAAAAAACAGATTGGACTGCAACAATTCTTACTAACTACATCATCTAATCTACAATTTAAAATGCATGAAAACAGATCAATATAATTTTATTTATTATTAACTTTTTTAATAATTTTTTAATTAAACCGACATTTAATAATCAATCCATTGAGAAACTTGATATATATAGTATAGATATAGAATTTAAAAATAGCGTAATTCATCAATAACGTAGATGTTTATCCTTAAGATTCGGCGCGTGATAGATTATACTGGTTCACACGTGTTCCATTTTCTTCTATATGCCAGGTGTCGAAGAGCCTAACACGTGTACAGCTGAAATAATCATGTACTGTCTTCCACAAACAAAAGGCTCTCTCCTCTAACTCGCAGAGCGAACTCCAATTTCCGTTGTTTATCCAAGCTCTTCCCGGTAAGTCTCGATTGTTTATATTTTTTTCTGTCATTTTGTATTGATTTCGGAAGGTGTGCATTTTTAATTATCCAAGTGCTTACTAATACTACCGCTTCAATGAATTAATAGTTTGTTTTCAACATGTATGAATTTACGCCAATATTAGAGGATTGAAAATTGAAAGCTATTAAAAGAGTAGTTTATTTTTCCATTGTTCTTTAGAGAAGATTAGGGAGTGGAAGATTTGGATTGATGGGTAGAACTCAATTTGATAATATTATACTCTAAGGCACTCATCTGATGCTTTAAATGATACGGGATCTGAGTCGATGAAACATAGAGGTAGAGCAGGGATGACTGCTACGCTGACAGACAATGCGTTTGAATATAATTTCGTTTCTTCCATTTGTTTAACTACTGTAATGTTAGAAAATTTAGTTACTGCCTGCCTATTGGAGGATTTTATTGTTTTGATTTGTAAGAAGGGGATTTGAGTAGAGGGATGCATGCATCAATCACTGAGAAAATTGTTAGGTGTGATAAGTCTATATTTTAGAAAATGGAAAGGAAATATCATTTCTTTTGTTAATTCTTTCTTAAGGAAACCCCAAAATCGTTAGATTTTAATCCAAGTGGATAGGGTTACAAGAACAACTGATGAGAATCTGGTCCTGGACTTCATTTTACTGTTGCAAGTAGCCTCCATATGTTCTGTGTGCAAGCATTTGCAAACTCGTGACTAGAGAGACTTGTATGGTAGTTTTGATTTATGTTAGATGCATCAGTTCCTCGTTTTTTTTTTTTTTGCTTTATGGATGTAATACCTCTGTTTTATTCACATAATTAAAAAGGGGAGGGAAAAGATAACAAAAAGCGCAAAAATAGAAGAGGTTTATGTAGCTGCAGTAGTGTGGTGAGAAGTCAGTAGCATTAAAATATTCTCAGAGAACTTTGAGCATAAGGGTCTCCAATTCATGATTCAATCCAGTTTTAATGTTTAAATATTTGAAGTTTAGTCACCGGCAGTAGTAGAATTCTCTATCTATTTTATATTCTTGATCTATTGCAGCACTAAAAGAAATGCTACTATTATTAGCACTCTATTATGGCATTTCATGTTATCTTAACGGGATACATACTTAGGTGGAGGAAAGTGAATATAAGTTTGCCATTTGGCAGCTGTTGATCTGGCCCAAGTTCTTATTTTTGATGTCATATTTTCAGATGTATTTCTGAACTAAAAGCCTGCTGTACTTGTGGCAACAATTCATACTTTACTTTCAATGATAATCTACTTCTAAGGTTTGTATTTGGTCACTTTCTCTCAGGAAAATCCTTTGGGATGGAGATTGCTACTACAAGGTAGGATTTCGTGATTATTATATTAGCAGTGAGGATAAATACTTTGTCTCAAAGTTACTCTGCAAATTTAGCTGATATCTTCTCAGTTATATATGGTACTGGTTGGTGCTATGCTTTTCATGCCACAGTGACAGCAGTATCGCAAATTGTCTCTGATTTTTACCTACCCAGGGTTTTTTGTGTCCATCTTTTTGTTGAGAACTGTTATGCTTAGAAACATTACTACTACTTTCTTTCTTTCTAAATTCCTCCATTCTACATATGATCCTTAACAATTTATCCCTTCTCATTATCATCCCTGCCTTGCATTGTGATTTTTTCAGGTGTTGTCTTGACAAGCAAGTCTCATGGTTTTCATCGAACCTGAGAGCATTGGACGGGGGAAATGCCCCTGGATTTCCTTATAATTTGACCGACAGGAAATTAAAGACTAATAATAAAATGTTGGCTTATCTGAGTATAGATTCTGCTAGAAAGCAACAAAAAAGCCCTATTGTCTGCAAGACACGTACCATGCCTGTTGGTCTGGAGGAATCCTCATCCCTACAGTCAGAAGATTCTTTTAGTGAAGATGAGCATGCCTCTGAAGATTCACCTGAGCAACCCCTTGCTAAACCACTAAGCAATGACGAGGTGAACTTAAACGAAATAAGTTTTTTATATTTTTTGTTTATTTGTAAATACACCATTTTTTTCTGTTCTGAAACAATGAACACATTCCAATTTTGGACTGGGTGGTTGAATAATTGAGCAAAACGGAAGGGAGAAATAAAATGCAAGTTACGGGCACAGAAGATGGTGTTGGTCAATTTAGAAGCTTTCCAACTTGTGTTAGAAACCTCCCCATGGCTTACTTAGGTGTGAGTAACAAAATGGTTTCAATAAATTCTGAAATTGGAGCTATGTGCGATGAAAGAATTAGGAATGCCTTAAATTAGCATAGTGTATCCATTTTTCACAAAGCATATAAAGGTAAATACTGTTGGCAGGGACTGCCTTCAAGAGGCAAAGAATCTGGCTTTCGTGTTCCATGTAGTCTTAAGCTATTTTCCTCAAGTTACTGTTGTGATAGTTTAGTTAGTGAGATATTTTGTAAAATCTTTTGATGTATTCAATTTTGGTATTCAAAAGTAGCATCTAAGATAGCGCAGATAACTTGTTCTGGTTTAAAGATATATAATAATCATATGGTATCATCTTTAGTTGCAAGGTATTCAATCTTTAAAGTTTAAACTAGGTTAATAAATTAATCTTGAAGGTCGGTATCCTTTCCTAAATGGAATAATAATTTAAATGGGGCAATTTTGAAGGTTAGTATGATTTGTATGATATTTTTGGCTTTTTCTGAAATTTCTTATTTAACAAAATGTTATCTGATTTTCAGAATCATGCATATTTCTCTACTCTTCTATTCATTGATAAGGAATTATTATGATAGCTGGGTTCTGCAGCTTTAACTCGTTACTGTAGCATTGAAATTAGGAGCAATTCCCACCAGGGAAGTGATAACTGAATCTTGTTAACTTTATCTGCTTGATGCATTTGCCATTTGCTAAAAAAAATTAATGGAATGCAAAATGAAAATTTAAAAATGAATAGAAAACAATAGGCAAATGGTAAAAGAATCAACCTAATGGAGTCTTGTGTATCATAATTAGTTTGAATGCAGTCCTAGTTACTTTCATCTTAAATGTGCAATGCTATTGTATGTTTCATTGTTCGACAGTTGAAATCCCTGCTGGCTGACTCTGAGAGGGCAAAGCTCACCAAAAAACTAAGTGAAGCTAACCAGCAAAACCGCTTCCTCAAACGACAGGTTTGTCTATGTATTTATATTCAGTCAAGTAATGCTTTTCCTTTTCTAAACATGGCAATGCTCTAAGCTTAGATACTTTTCAGCTGAATCACCCTGGTAAAAAAGAAAAGAAATTGTCAAACCTGGAAACAAAGTTAATATTTGGTGAAAACTTTTTAACTGTTAATGGAGAGATTAAGTTATTAAGTATCAGATATGGCAACGGAATAGAGAAGAAAAAGGAGGCCAACCACGAACCAGGGACATCTCAATGGTAAAAAACTTTTATGTTACTGTCTTGAAGAGAGTTTTGTTCATTTAAATGCATATAGGAAGAGCTGAGTTCAGCAATAAATGTTGTAATGGAAATTGCTAAAGGATAAATCGATGCTAATCTACAGACTACAATCCAGGTTTTTATCTTTCTAATCAAAGAGGACAGGCCTAGAAATTCTTAGTTTACACGAAATTGGTTTTACAGTGTAAAATTACTAGCATTAACAGAGTCAAATAAAATGCCTTTACCTCGCTAAATGAACTGTCTGTGCTTTCTACAGTTATATGACAAGGAAGATGAGCTACTTAATTTCAAAAGTGAACTTGCAGTCATGGAACTGGAAATTCAGGTTAATATTCACTTCAGTTTCTGTTTTTTATCATATGTATATACATATATATGTATTAGATCTTTTTCTGTTTCTTATATTGTCAATTGCTAAAGCAAACTTATTGAAAGAAAATTTGGGAGTTTTCATCATGCCCTGCGTGAAGTATAAGAATCAAGATTTTTGGTCCCAAACTTGGTAATTTTTCGAGGCTTGGACTTTAGAAGAGCTATTGTTTCCGATGCTGGTGAGGCTACAATGTTTTTTGTTTACTTTCCAGCAAACCAATTATCCCATACATTGAAAATTGGTCCTTTACAAAATTCCTCATGCAAAAGGTATCCATTTACTGGAGTGGTGATGCTTTAGATTGAGGTGCTTTTTTTTTCTTTTTGTATACCACCTCTTTGGTAACATGGAGAACAATTTCCCTTGACTCACATAGTTACATCGAAGTTTAGGGTTTTATTTATGCAAAATCGCTCATTTACTATGCCTCCAATTGTTTTGTTAGATGTGTTAAGCAATTTAGTAAGCCAATTGTTCCAACTGGTAAAGTCATCTAATTACATTTCTTGGCCAAAACCCTTTAAAGCTTCTCTAATTGCACATTGTTTTTCATTTACAGGCGTTAGTCTCACTGGCAGAAGAAATATCTAAAGCTGGCATTCCTGAAGGTTCTAGAAAAATTAATGGGAGATACATTCAGTCTCATCTTCATGCTCGCTTAGAAGGTAATGATTCTCTTCTGAGTTTTGACCAACAAAGTTGTTCTTCCTCATCTAACTTGAGATGTTTTAACAAATGGCCAAATGTTAATGGCTCAAGGCATTACTTTCAATTTCGAGTTTTATTCCCCTGCTAAATCGAAAATTTTGACAATTTTGGCAATAATGCACAATCGAGATTTGGGCTTCACTGTATCGGCTTGAAAACTTAATTTCCCGTTACAGTAATAGAGAGAGAATTGGCTTTTGCGTGTATCTAATGACTGGTAAGAATTTTCAAGTTTGCGACGACCTATGAGTTCCTGTTCTAAAGGATCTCTTCTTTTTCTTTGGTGTATAGCTGTACTCGAGAAATTGAAGGAAAAAATAAAGGATGTAGATGCTGCACAGTCGAAGGAAGTTCCATTGTTCTGGTGTGGCATGGCAGAAAGTGTACAAGTTCTGGGGTCATTTGATGGATGGAGTCAAGGGGAACACTTATCACCAGAATACACTGGTTCATTCACCAAGTTCTCCACCACATTATTGCTGAGACCCGGAAGGTATGATTGATCCCCGTGGACTTTCGATGCATAAGCCGTTAAATGTTCTAACATTCAGTTTTGACATTTGGTGAAGGTATGAAATCAAGTTCTTGGTGGACGGAGAGTGGCACCTATCACCAGAATACCCAACCATTGGTGAGGGATTAATGGAAAATAACTTGCTCGTTGTAGAGTAGAGCCTATGATACCTGGACTTCAGACTTGTGTGTGTTGAATGTGGGTATGTATCAGACCGATATTTAAAAAAATAAAAGCTTTTTTCATATGGTCTGATGTTCTTATTTTTCTGCTCTTATGGTTCAAATATGTGTTGAATACAAGTGTCAAATGGCTGACATTTTCTAGGGAAATGAATCATAGCCCGCAGCAACAAATGTTGAAATTGTAATGATTGTGAGCTTTGCAATGTGTAAAAGATTTTAGAATCATTTTTCTAATAAATAAATGGAAAGAAAGAAGGATATTGGTTTGAAAATGAGTGCAAGAAGGGGTTACACTCGAAGGGAGATTTTAACTAGTGATTGTTGAAAAGCAGTAGCACTTATTTTTGTGAACTCAAAAGAAGCTTTAAGGGCCCCATTTGTTCCTCCAAGAAGATTAATGGTTACTCGATAATTCAATAGTTAAGATTCGAGGGATAAGTGAATTGTTATAATCATGTTCCTTTTCATTCGTTTTACAAAAAAAAAAAAAGTTATTATTTTATCGATGCGCACAAGGCGTCGGTTGAAGCCATCAAAAATAAATGGAACCACAGTTCTAGCCCCCAACACCATAAAAGTGTTGGCTGATATTATTAATTAAAGATGAAAAATCAATAAATTGCATATGCTTTGCCATGTCAACCTCCATAACTCAGCTGTCTCCATTTAGTTTTAGAGGATGAATGCCAATTCCTATCATATTAAGCGTAGAATTAAAAGCTTATAAGATTGTCGGCTCCTACACCACTAATATTACTAACAATATGCATCAAAATTTCATTATTCCAGCTGCTAAGGCTCGGCTCAACTCTCTGATGCTCACTCCAAAGAGTTCAAGTATAGAGTTTTTTTATTGGTACGAGACAATTATAAGATAGCATCTGATTAAATAAAATTTAAATAATTGATAACGTCGTAGTGATGTATAAAATTTTTAAATCAAAGAGAGACGAGTAACAAAAGCCCACGTACAAGTGTGTTGTGGTTGTTAAAGTTTTGATGACATTGTATCAGCACGGGAAGCTTATTTTATATATAGGGAATTAATATCAACATGTTGATATTAATAAAGAATTGACGCATTCGACACTATAAATTAATTGCTCATTTACACTTTTGGTTAACCAATAATAAATGCCCCATAGATAAAGAAAAGGTTAACCCTTTTGAATTAACTTTTTCAAGATTTGGTGGCTCTCCCACTTCCTATATAGTAATGAAATTAAGTTTACAAATTTATATATGTGTGTGTGTGTGTGTGAAAAAGGTTAATTAAAACACGTAAAAAAAAGTGTGTAATATGATACAAAATGTACGTAGCATAGTACTATATATATATAATAATAATAAAATAAAGGAAAAAGAAGAAATAGTTTGAGGTTTGTGTGCAGTAACTTTCCACATCCGAAACAGTGAAAACCGATAGGCTGAAGGCTAAGAAAGAAGGCTAAGGGGATGTTTGTTTGCTTTTAATAGAATTATTCAGCGTTGAATGTTGAACGGTTCAGTATTTAGCTCGTTTGTTTCGTACCTCTGAATGATTTAGTGATGAATGATTCAGCACAGAAGTATATTCTGAATGATTCAAAGCCATTATCAAATAGCATATCACATTCAGAGATAATTCATACAGAGCCTCTGAATGATTCAACATTTGAATCATTCAACGCTTGAATCATTTTGAAGTAAACAAATCGTCCCTAAATATTTAAATTGGTGATGGGATGGCTAAACCTTATCCTTTTTGGTGTTGTGTATGTGTCCCCATGGATATGGCCATCTTCATTATTGAATCAAACATAATAACCTTAACACCCTTTTTTTTCTCCAACCTATCAATGATATCCATCTGTGCAGGACAAGGATCAGGTTTTTCTTTTAGGACAAATCTTCCCTATTTCATTTATTTTCATGCTTTTATTGCCAATCCTACGAAATATTGTGTTGTATTAATCCATCTATCAATAGATTGTACACCTCAAATCTTAGTTAATCATTCCGACCCAACTTCTTTTGAGTTACTTATAAGGTAAACCCTAGGCTAGTTTTCCTATAAAGAAAGAGATTGGGATAGACTGTAGGCTTCGGAGATGTATTGAGAATCATACACTTTGACTAACAACAAATAAAAGCACGCATGGTAGCTTAAAAGCCAACTATTTGCCAAAGATTACATCTTACCTAGAAATATAATACTGATTTATGTTGTTTTTACATAGAAAACCAAGTATTGATTTCCCTCGGGGCATACGAATCCAAAATATGCAGGGCAGGGCAGAGCAAATTCAGAAAATGTGTTGAGAATCAGGGCATTGACATGCTGTACCCAATAATAAACAACAAAGGATATATATTTAGATCCAACCTTGAAAATTACAGAACGATGGAGAGAAAAATTACACCCTATTTTCAACAACGGCAAAAAGTAGTAGTAGTAGCAGTAGAATTACACACTTGGACTTCTTTTTTAATTTACCCTCATCTTCCATTCACTCGTACACTCTCTGCAACTCGGTTAATACACACACCCCATTTCCCCTTTCAACAATTCCTGAGTCATTTCCCTGTCTCAGTTGTGGCGAGTCGCCAAGCCGAGGTGGCGATAAGAGGCTTTGTATGCCACCCAAGCATTAGACATCCTTTGTTCTCCTCCACTCTATGCCCATCACAGCCGGCCAAGAGGGCCAGCAACATGCTAGCTTGTTTATAAGCATTACAACCCAAGTGCACGGGGCTGAACCCGACCATTTCCATCCGTGTCCTCCACTGACTCAACGTCTCGTATCGTTCAACTCGGCCCATCCCTTCGCAAGCTACCACGTTGCAAATCTGTCTTCCTAGATACAACTCGGACATAGCCAGGTCTTGACTCGGTGGCGCCACCCCTGAGCCTTCCAACGAGTCAAAAAGACTTGAGTAATAATGTAGAGCCTCCGTAAACCTGTCTAAGAAAACCGGACCGTTGAGATTAGCTTCTTGTTCTACAACCGTAAGAATTTTGGGCTTCATTGCTTTGATTGAAGAAACAACTTTCTCGATCCCACCCGGCCGAGCTAGCAGGCGGTGAAGCTCGAAAACTGAATTAACCGCCACTACCTCCACCTCGGGAGGGCGTAAATCGAGCATTTCGGGCTCGAGATCTGCCAAACTATTGGCCCCAAAACCCCTAAACTCGAATTCGATACCAATAGTTTCCGCCAATTGAGCTAATTTCCACCCTACTTGCTGCAAAGCATCGGTGTTATCCGGCTCAGGCGGGCCGATTCCGGTCAATCGAAAAGCCGGCGGCCCACCAGGCCTTAATGCAAGTGCTTGCATTAGAGCCGGCCATTGCATCCCCTGTTTTAATCCGAAATCGATAACGTGAACCCTGTTAGCCGTGGCGAAAGCTTCCAGGATAGCTTGATTGGCTGTAAAATGAGCGAATTTCAAATATGGGCAAATTTCATAGAAATGCATCTGCAGAATATCGGTGTACGATGGATCGAGAGAATCTTGCGGGAAAATCCTGTAGATTCTGCGAGCTAAAGCTTCGGCAAAATAAGTAGCAACTTTTCTCATCGCACCAGTTTGAGACGCCGCTAGTAAGCCTATATGCTTCACTAGTGCATCGGCGAGCTTGAGATTATCTTGCTGGACAGCTTCCGCACAAGCCATCAAGGTGTGAACGAGTCGAACCCCGGTTTCCTGCGAGTCAACCAACAAAACGGGACGAGTTGATGACTCAGTTACAGCACCTGGAATTCCATTCTCCTGAGGTGACGAAAAAGATGAACCTGAGCCATATCCATCGGATCCAGATGAACTCATCGAAGTTTTGACCCGTTTCCGGGTACTTTCCGGATCCGGGTATGATATCGGAGGTGGATAAGCAGCAACCCCCGGGATTGCCCTGAGATCGTACTCGGAATCATCGATGAAAACCCGAGATTGATTTGGTTGCTGGTGTTGTGGGTTTGAAGAATTGGAATCGGAATTCGCCAGAACGGAATCGAGATTCGGGGTTGGTGGACCATTAAACTCAGTCAACATGCTTTGAACCCAACCAGAAAGATCTGAAGGATTGTAATGAACGGCGTCGGAAGAAAGATGAGAAACCCCATCTTCTTGTGCAGTTCCCATAACCATCTCCAATATTTCCAATTTCTGAGCCACATCGGCCATGTCGGAAGACCGAACTTTGTAACCCAAAACGGCCAACAGCTCGTCCATGCCGCCGGCGTCTTGATCTTCTTCCCATAATTTTCCTTTGACGGAATTACCAATGCTTGAACTGTCGACCCTAGAGCCACTCCCACTGCTGTAGTCAGTGGCTCCGGAGATTTCCCGGTGATCTCTCTTCATTTTGTGTGTGCTGGTGGTGAAGGCGAATGAAAAAAGGTGTCGAAACCAAGGTTAGAAATTGGTCATGGAAGAAAGCAAAGTGATTACGGAATTGGGGTTTGGATTTTGATGGAATCTAGAGTCGAGTTTTAAAATAAAAAAGATGGAAGAAGGAGAGAGAAGGAAGCGGGGATATTGGTGGAAGGTCTAATGGAGGAAACAGGAGGGGGCTAGGATTGAAGAAGAGATAAGGAACAACGGAGGCCGTAATAATGAGAGAGATTATTTTTTGTTTTTTATAATTCCTTTTTTATTTGTTAAGAATGACTTATTCGTAATATTACATATAAGGGACGTGTTTTATAATTTTGTAAAAAACTCATTATAATTTATAAAAAAAAATGTTTTTAATATTATTATTTTAGAATTTTCTTTTTAGATTAATTTATATTATTTATGACAAAAATATCAAAGATTTACTTATATAATTGTAAATTATTTTCATCAAGTTCTTTTTTATCTCCGATTTCTTAATCAATCTGAATTAATCTGCATCGCATATCTGATTTTAATATGTGAGTCTCTTAATGAGAATTTTCAGCATATATAAGAACTCGAACCTACAATATTAAGATGTTTACCACTTAAACCAATTCCATTAATTTTTTTATTTAACATGTCAAATATTTGAAAGACAAATATTTTTAAATTTATATTATTGTGATTTAATTTTTCTTTCAAATTTAAATTGACTAAGAAAAATAATAAACTGAAAGAAAAATGATGCTTTATTAAGTCTCTTGACTATTAAAAGTTACAAAATAGTCACCATACTATTCATTATGTTTCAAACTCGTCTTTTCCGTTAAAAAATTCGCGGTTGTATAAGCTGGAAGTTAACATGATGACTGATATATGATAGTCGTTTGAAATTTTGAGATCAAATTTTATCATATCATAGTTAGAAGGTTAACATTCAGTTAAAAATATCGTTAATTTTTTTAATGATGACTGATGAGTTTGAAACATAATGAATAGTCAGGTGATTATTTATGTAACTTTTAATAGGCCTGTAAACGAACCGAACGCACACGAACGGAGGTATGTTCATGTTCGTTCATTTAATAAATAGACGAACATAAACGAACACGAACATAAACGAACAAAATTTTTTTTGTTCATGTTCGTTTATTAAGGAATATAATATGTTCATGTTCGTTCATTTAATAAATAAACGAACATAAACGAACACGAACATAAACGAACACGAACATAAATGAACACGAACATAAACGAACATAAACGTTGGAGACCCTACCTTCCATTGTTCTTTCATGAAAAATAGTCGACAATGCAAATAACCAAATCTACAGTGATAAATAGCGTAAGAGTTTATTAGCAGTGATGAAATGTTTGAAGATATCAAATATTTTGATCGATCTTTTAAATATATTAAATTATTCACACAACTTTAATTAACACTATAACATTTATCTTAGTGGTCCATGATTACATATGAACAATCATTTTTCGCTATTACACTCTTTTCAGAAATTGCATAGAAACATTTGTTTTGTTTTCTGGCAAATTCTATATATTTTTCTCTTTATTGATGCTCATATACTTCCGATTGTTACCTTTATCTTCCCATCTATTTATAGAAAGAAGTATGATGTTTTCTTGAGTTTTAGATGTGAAGATACCTACAATAACTTTACATATCAACTATTAAGCCAAATAAAACAGAGAAAGAGATGAAAACAGACCTGTAAATCTTCATATTGCACTATAATATAACTTGTTTTTGAAGCTTTCAGCGATCGTCTCGACTCTCTAGTGAACACTAGGGTTTGGGGAAAAAAGGGGAAATGAATATAGGTGCGATGTGCCTCACATGTTAACATATTGGATTTAATCTCCAAATAAAATTGGGTTAATTATGGAGTTGGTCATCAGAATATCAGATTAATTAATATTTTTAAGATACTTACAAATTGGTCACCAAAATTGATTTAAGAAGATTGAGTTAAACATAAATGAATGAACATAAACGAACATAATCGAACGAACATAAACAAACATAACCGAACGAACATAATCGAATGTTCACGAACGTAAATGAACGAACGAGACCTATGTTCATGTTCGTTCATTTAATTAAACGAACAAAAAATATTGTTCATGTTCGTTCATTTAATAAATAAACGCACATAAACGAACTTCCCGCCGCACGGTTCACGAACGGTTCGCTGAACGTTCAGTTCATTTACAGGCCTAACTTTTAATAGTCGTGGAACTAAAAAAAGTAACACTATATAGTCAGAGGACTATTATGTAACTTTTAATAATTAAAGTACTTAATAAAATAATATCTTAAAGTTTAGGGACCATTTATGTACTCGACCCTAAAATTTAACAAATTGGCACTGATTGATTAAGTGGTCCATTTTAGTTTAGTATTGCGTTTCTCCACATTTGAAATCGATAAAAGTAGGGAGTTACCACTTACATATATTAGGGGTTTTCTTCCTGAGTATGGGGGTTCCACTCGTTTATTCCCCAACTCACCCTAGCTTTGCCGTCTTATACACGCTCTCCCCCCCCCCCTCCAAAAAAAAGTTATTTTCTTTGAAATAATTAAAAATAAAGTTATCAAAAGAGTATAATAATTAAATTTTAAAATAAGACCAAAACTCTAAAATATTAAATAAATTGTATACGTATATGAAAAGTTATTGAGATTTATATGGCATCAATTATTATTTTATTAATGAACCGAAAATTGTACATATGCATGATTTTGACCTTAAAATATGTAGTTTAAAATAATTTATTGAAAAAATATTAAAATAATAATAAATTTAATTCTTAATATTTATAATCATATTAATCCGATCATGATTCTTTGTTCATTAAATTTGACCTTAAATTCTTATTTTTTTAATCAAATTGTTGTGATTTAACAAAATACTTAATAAATCATTAAATTTTGTGACGCTAGCATATTATTATGATATATTGGATAATTTTGTCTTACGTAAACCTAATTTAAGGTTAAGGAACAGTAATAAAGTGTGATCTAAAATATTATAAAAATCATAACATTTTCGATTGGACGTAACATAAAATGTTAATTTTTTCGTATTTAATGTCAACCATAAGTATTATAAAAAATGTTTTCAACCGAAAAATTTTAAGAAAAAATTAACTTTTTATGTTGTGCCCAACCGAAAATGTTATAATTTTTATAATATTTTTATTGTGCCTTTTCTCAGCCTTAGATTAAATTGTCTTTCGTTAGAATCTCCCAATAAAATAATATATATAACGTTGTTAACATGATATTATTTTAATTTATGTGTCATATCAAATAATAATTTTAAAATATATAAAATATATTTTGTAAAAAATATTATAAATTAGTAAGAAAACATAGACTACCATTCTAAAAATAATTTTCATATTAACAATGAAATACACGTTGATAATCACATAAATTAGTGTATAACCACTATTTTCATTAAAATAACACAGCAAGTTGATAGAGAAAATGCTGATGGCCAAGCTTCGGCTATTTTAATTTTTAACGACGACGGGACAGTGTATTGCACGCTCGCTTCGCTGGAGTGAGCAGCTAATTTTAACTCACCACAAGCTCACATGAAGGAAAAGTAGTCAACTTTTGCTCCAGAAACACAAACCACGAGTGTATTACACGCCCCAATAAACTAGGCATCAGTTTTCTTGAAAGTCAATTGGTTTAGCGCGTGATTAAACCACCCTAAAAGGAAGGTGTCGATTCTTGTGGGTCCCATCTAAACGGAGAAAGATCAGATCAATGGAGAAGGATGTCAACATCGGTTTTAGGACCATCCACTCATAGGGACCCACTTCAACACATCATCGTTATTTTAACGGCGTTTGAGTGCCATTTATTTATGGGTTTTCCTTCATTCTTAATGTATGTTTTGTTCATCGTATTATAATGAAAATTTCACTTTTGATCGAGTTATTATTTTCTTAATAACTCGGTTCATTTGTTTTTCTTATCCTTAATGTTTGTTTTCTCCATTGCACTACACTAATTTTTTCACTTTTACTATTTTGTATAATTTAATTAAATTGTTTTCACTTTTATTGACGATAAAATGAGACTGTGACGATTTCAAGTGGTTTATCCTTTTAATTTGGATAAAAAGTTGTAATTAATGATTCAAATTAGTTAAATAAGAGGTATGAGCATGAGACCCGAACTCGACGAGTTCTGACTCGACCCAATCAAATTGGGTTTGAATTTTAAAAAAAATTTGAGTTCGGGTCGGATCAGATTATGGTTTAGGGTGAAAAATATCCGACCCAAAAAGAAATTATAATTTTACCTTGTATATTTAGGAATAATTATAATAATATCCCTCAATATATTATTTTCTTTCAATTAAATTCCTATTTTTATTGAATAAAATATTTTTTTTAATAAATATATTATTTCGGGTCGAGTCAAGTTCAGATTTTATCTCAAAAAATCGAGTTGGGTAGAAGATGTATAATTTTGGGTTAGGTTCGAATCAAGTAGAGGATTTAAAATTTTCAAGTCGAGTTGGGTAGACCAAAATTTCAACCGATGCCCATCCTTAGATGATATATGACCTATGATCATAATGGTTATCCATAGGATGACAAAACAAATAGATATGACTGACAAATAATATATTTGGTTTCTAACAGATAATGTGTGCTAAATGATCATGTCAAGAGGTTGTGATTGCTTCGAAGAATATAGAATTTTGAAGATATCCGAAAATGGTAGAGGAGTTCTCTCCAAAGACTTCAATAAACGAAGGGGTGATAATGATGATGTGGTTTACGCAAAAGATTAAGAGAAGATATAACCATTCATCAAATGGTAAAAAAAGCACACACCTTAACATTCTAAGAAAACTTTGAAAAAGTATTTGAGATTTTCATTTTTCATACTTTTCTAATTTGTAAAGATTTCTTTTGTATTTTAAATAATTTAATAGTCTATTGATTTTAAAAATAAATTAAACGTAACTATAGTTTTTAAAATACAATTTCTAAAGTTATTTTTGTTTTTCAGAATATGTTTATGTTTGTATTTTTATAGGATAAATGAGCGATCAGTTGAAAAGGTTTCAAGATGAATCGATGGGGCAAATCTTTAAACTAATGGGCATGACGGCTATGCATGTCGAAGGAAAGAATCCGATAAAGGAAGAGAAGAATTTGGGACTAGTGAGAATCTCAACTTAATACTCCATG